GGCAGCAGCGGATCCCGGTGGCTTCTCCCCCGGCCATCAACACTCCCGTCCACTACCAGTCCCCACCACCCGTGCCCGGAGAGGTCCTCAAGGTACAGTGCTGGGGGGGTGTCCCCTGCCCCCGGGGCCGAGGGGGTGTGGGAGATCCCTGATGGTTTGTCTCCTTGCAGGTCCAGTCCTACCTGGAGAACCCCACCACGTACCACCTGCAGAAGTCACGGGACAAGAAGGTTCAAAAAAATTGGCGCCCCCCCGGCGCCCGCGCCAGCCCCCCCCCCAAGCCACCCCCTGCCGCGTCCCCCGGCGTCCGACCCAGCCACGTCATGTCCTCCTCGGCGGGCAACAGTGCGCCCAACAGCCCCATGGCCATGCTCAACATCGGCTCCAACCCCGAGCGGGAGGGGAGGAGGTGTCACCGGGCTGCTGGGGGAGAAAAAGGTGCTGGAAAGGGCAAAGAAGCCCACTGGGACCTTACGCCTTTCCCTTTCAGTTCGATGAGGTCATCGATGACATCATGCGCCTGGATGACGTTTTGGGCTATATGAACCCCGAAGTCCACATGCCCAACACAGTGAGTCTCTGATGCGCGTTAGGGAGAGATCAGACCCCGGGCTGCGCGAGGGAGCGTGGCCTGAGGGTCCCACAGTCCCCGTGCTTGCAGGGACGGAGGTGGCGCAGAGGGGACCTGTCCTTCTGTCATGTCCCTGTGGCGATGCCCGGGTGCCAGCCCAACCCCGCCTCGTCCCTGGGGTGGGTGTCCCTGGGACCTGGGGCTGGGGGAAGGGAGGCAGCGAGATCTCCCTTTTGCAACTGCAAGAGCCAGTTCTTCAGCTTCTTTTCCTCTTTAATGACAATTGGGAACCCTTATAAAAAGCCGGAGAGACGGGAGAGGGGCGCGGGGAGGGACCAAGTGTCTGCTGCAGCGCGGGGGGACGTTGGTACCAGGAGAGGTTTCCCAGCCAGAAGCTCGCTCGGAGTGGCACCATCTCCTGGGTCGGATCCGTATGCCAGTTTGTGCCTCCCAGTGGGATTCATCCTGCCGGGCCCTTCTCGGATGTGATTCATCTGCCCTATTTTAGATGCTGACCGTGGGAGGGGATCAGCTGTGCCCTTTGAAGTCCTGTTTTCTTTGCTACTCTGATTATAGCTGTTTTAAGGGCCCAGGAAGACAATTACATCTGCCTGGGCTACGCACTCACATCCCAGAGGCCAAGCAGCTGGGCTTGAACCCCGGTCCCATGGCCCCGGATGGAGCTAACCCGCCTGTACCTCTGATTTTCAGCTGCCGGTGTCAAGCAGTCACCTGAATGACTAT